AAAAGAGATATCCAATCAAAAGCACGGATTTGTACAGAAACACTTCATATGCCGCTTAACCATGCACTCCGTTCCTGTCAATAAAATAGCAAGATTATAACTGAATTTTTACAGTAACAATGCAAACTAACTTGCATACTATGTCACCAAAATAATAGAATTTTTGCAGTAACTTATGTTAGAAGTCATGATAATTCCAATGCAAACTAACTCAACCTTAACCACATACAGTGCTACTAAAATAGTAAGTTCTATAACAGAAGTTTTTACAATTACTAATAATAGAATTCATGATAATTTCAATGCAAACTAACTCAACCTTAATCACACACACTATGTGTTACCGAAATAGCGAGTAAGTTCTATACCAAATTTTTACAGTAACTTACGACGTAAAATATCTCAACCTTAACCAAACACAACGTGCTACCTGGATAGCAAATAAGTTCTGTAACAAAATTTTTTACAATAACTTACAACGTAAAATATCTCAACCTTAACAAACACAGCGTGATGCCTGGATAGAAAGTTCAATAACAGAATTTTTTACAATAATAATTCAAGCCAATTCGATTTTAACTATATACTGTGTGTCACCAGAATAGCAAGTTTTGTAACAGAATTTTTTACAGCAACTTACAATTCAATAACTCAATCTTATTCACATAATGTGCATTACCAGAATAGCAAATAAATTCTATACCAAAATTTCTACAATAACTCTTGATAGAATCATGATAATTTGAATGAAATCAACTCAACATATCTTGTTACCAGATAGCAGGTGGTTCTGTATTTTTTGCATTAATTTTACAATGCAAGCTTTCAACCTCGACTACATATTTTCTGTTATTGGAGAATTTTTTACAGTAACTTATAATATAAACACTCAACTTTAACATCATACTATATGTCACTAGAATAGCAAGTAAGAGTTTTTTACAACAACACTTGGTAGAAATCATGATAATTTTGATGCAAATTATCGCTCTTTTCGATTTAACTATATATATTTATTTATTTACTTTGTCGTTCTTTCTAATTTAAATGCATAACTATATATTTTAATTATCATCATCTAACTTGGTTAATGCACCATATTGAGATACATAATAATTATAAGTTATTGTATGGTGGGTGAAAAAATATTGATATAGTTTGGGTGTAGATAAGTGATCGGATCAAATATCTGTCAGAGATATATGGGCGAGCAGAATGTATGATCGCAAAATAATTAAAAAAAAATGATGGCTTAACTTTCTAGTAAATCATACTCCGTACGTCTTACTACGTTCCTGGTAAATATACTTTACAGCAGAAATAACCCTAATATTGTCAGAATGTGTAAAGATTGTCTACAATCCTTTTATGATAACCATTTATTTTATATATCTTAAGTATAAAGATTATTTGAATCAATATATTTAGAATCAACCATTCAAGTTTTTATTAAGGAACATATACCATGCGTAATGTAATAAAGCGCTGCATTTAATATCATGTGTATATAAATAAAAGCTAATTATCTTAATTTGTATTTCACTTTGGATACTTTGAATACGATCATTTTTTATTGGACACACATATGTAAGTTATCATATGAATCTAAATTATACATGAGTTAAGGTCAGGAATTTGTGCAACAAATTTGAAATATACTCGATTTTTCGTTGGGAGTACATAAAATCCAATTCAATTCTTGAATTTACAATTCTGTACTCATGTTTAACACAGGTTTAAACTTGTCAGGCATCTGTATATCTTTACCAAGATTATAATTTATTCGTGCAAAGATATTATAAGGAAATGGTATTTCCTTTGGCGTCGAAACCGCATCCAATCTTGCCATTTGTTCAGGAGTTAGCCTAATTATTTAAATTATAAATGATATAAAAACTCTATTGCTTGTACACATGTGACTTTGTAAAATAAAAATTACTTGAATTCAAGAGCTTTAAGATTGTCATCTAATTGAGCTTTTGTTCTGACACCGATAAGAGGCGAAGTGATACCAGGTTTTTGTGAGGTCCAATTTAAAACAACCTTTTAATTTAAAAAATAATTGAATTATAAAAATACATTAAAATAACTATAGTCAAGATGAAGCTACCTGAGCAGGACTTTTATTAATTTCAGAAGCAATAGCTTTAACTTCATTTAGGATTTCCCAATTTTTTTCAACACTTGCTGATTTAGTAATTGAATAACTGCGTACACCAATCTTTTCTAAGCTTATATCTGATTCTTTAGTGTACTTTCCAGTTAAGAACCTATTTATAAAATAATAAAATAATTAAAAGAAATATAAATTAACCTATACGTAATCACGAAAGGAATTGATTTGATAATTACCCTTCTGCGATACATCCCCAAGGAATGATTCCAACCTTTATAGTAAGAATAAAATTTTAATTATCATATTGCTAGACTCATTATCAGGTTTTATTAATTATGTTTGAAATTTAATGCGCTTATTTGTTAAGATTCTGATAATGATAATACTGAAATATATTTACGTACATCATGTTCTGCACATGCAGACTGCAACTCAAATTCCATAGATCGCTCTAACAAATTATACCGAGTTTGCAACCCAATAAAACGACTAATATAATTTTACAAATTTTGGTAACATTTTATCATTACAATAATTTAATATAAATTATTTTGTAAATATGATATGATATTACCTCCATCCACGTAATTCAGCTAAGGTGTTTGCGTGACTAATTACCCACCCAGGTGCATTGCTAATCGCGATATATAGTACCTAAGAAATTCATATAAAATAATTATTATATAAACTATAAAATTAAATGTGAGATGCTTACCTTGCCACTTCTAATAACGTCATCCAAAGAACGCATTACTTCCTCTGTAGGCGTACGGAATTCCCAAGCATGAACGTACAAAAGGTCAATATATCCAGTGTTTAGTCGCTTAAGGCTTGCATCGAGATTTTCGATAAGAGATTTACGATGATTTCCACCTTTAAGTGGAGCGAGAAAGATATTTTGTCAGAATTATATCTGCATATACAAACTCATGAATTGAGTAATAAAGTTCGTGAATTACCAGCATTCGCGTTATATTTGGCATTTGGCGTAAAAGCATTAGCATTTGCTTTATAAACAAAAAGGATAACATATAGCATAAATAAATGAACTTTTATGTAAAGCAATAATCAGATTACACACCAGTATATTTGGTGGCAACTACTACTTGAGAGCGTTTATCGGCGATAAATTCTCCAATAAAACGTTCGCTCTTTTCATATGTAGAAAAAAAATTATATAGTTATTGTATATACTAGATTATACGTGTGCTAATTAATACGTGCTATTATTGACATGCGTTGTTTATTCACCTCTCCAAGGTTTGCAGTATCTAGAAATGGCAAACGTCTTATGAATTTAATATCGATCAATAAAAAAACAATGCACTACATATTGTATATAAGTTTATACCGATGAAATTCCCGCCTTTTTCAAAATAACTATTGAAAATTTCTTTGGATTCCTCATAATTCAAACCGGTATTCTATTTAGCGTGTATAAATTTTTTTTTGTATGATAAAGATATTAATTTCATAATTTCATGTCGAGAGAATATGATATTAAAAATAAAAAAAGACTTACAAATTTTTGTCCAAAATTCTTTCGTCGAAACAATCAAAAAGTTTTTAATTTAAAAAATAAATTCATAATAATATAAACAGAAATTGAAAATTGCATACCATGGCACCAAGACATAGAGGAGAAACCCTTAATCCACTACGTCCCAAAAGAACATACTCATCAAGAGCTCTAAGGGTTTCTTTGGTACTTGTTGAGTCTTGAGACATTTCGTATTATTGAGTTAATGCGTAGCATTGTTTGCACGATGCTTATATTATGTTTTTGTTACACTAATGTACCTGAATTTTCGAAATATCATTTTTGATACAGCAATGTAACTAATAATGCTAGTCAAAGTTTAATTTTTCATACATCAAAAAACATATTATTTTGTATCACTTCGACTAAACTTTAATATTTATTTCGGAAAATTAGAACTTCCGCGATTAAAATTTATTCCGCTGTGTTCCCGGAAAATTCGAACCGTTATAAATAAAGGAAATGCTGATATTTGTTACACATGTAGTAACCTTTTCATACAATTTACCTATAGATGTATTAGTAATAATAATTTAAAATAAATAATGCGATAAATTAATTTCTAAGCAAATAAAAATATCCATAATGAACATCTATATAAATTAATTGCTTCCTTTACATCCCGTAGTAAAAGAAAGGAATATGGCAAACAGAGATACTATATACCAAAAATAGAAAGTATCATTATGTTATTTTTCTATTCTCTTATTTATTAGTTAATTGTCACAGCTTGTACTAAATTGACTGATGCTTAAAATTTGGTCTATTTTAATATTAAGATCTTGGAAATTGTTAATTTTAACTAAGGTAAAAATCACCGAGATGCAATTATACATGGGTGTCGAAATTATTTTTTCAAAAAAGTAATTTCGACAAACATTTTGATATTGCTAGTTTTTTATGAGAATTTCCACAAAATAACTATACTTTCTAATGTATTTTGGCACGAAGAGTTCAAATGATTTTGCTAAAAATTTCGACAACTATGAAAACTAATTTCGCCACACTAAAAATTAAATAATTTTTTATTAAAAGGAGTAATTTAGACACATGCAATATCTCAAAAATGTACTAAGTAATTAAGGACAGGTATTCTAAGTAAAAATGTTCAGCATCCTTGAAACCTAAAATTTGGACTGTTATATCTAACTCCTCTCTTTGTCTTAAATTGCGCCCTAGCCCTAAAAACATAAGGACGGTGATTTTACTTCCGGTTAAATGTAGTAATTTTCAAAATCTATAAGCATTTTTTTTAGGATTTAATTTGTTAATGACAGACAAATAGAGATTTCAAAGTTTAGCATTAGTCTTGAGAAAGCAGACAAAAGAGAGTCTTAGTAGTTGTATATATGAAATTTTCTTGGCAACACTGAGAAAGATAAAATTGGTATTCTTGAGGAGTTAACCATCTTTATAACTAATATGGTAAATAAAGATTTTACGTATAAACTTTCAAATAAAAATTGTAGATGCGAAAAAATCATGCTCTTGAGTTACGTCCATTATAAAGACGTATAATGTCGCACCTGAAGTTGCAACTTCAGACACTTGAGGTTACTATTGTCTAAAAATCATTAGCTAATGCGTGCAAGATGATCTGATATTAATGCTAATTTCAGTCAAATTAACTTCAGGAAATAATGGCGCATCTTTTAAAATCAGTGATGTAAGTTTTTTTGCACCTATAATAAAAATTTACTATTTTTTTAAATAAAATTTTAGAACTTTATCTTGGATCACAGCTTATCAAGTGATGATTACGTATATATATTATTTGGTTGTATAAGATAATAGTAAAAAATTATTTATTAATTTAAAGTAATTTAGTAACGTTCAATTAGATCTTATATGTTTTAGCATTAGGAATTTAAGCAGATAATGTGCAGCAACATAAATATTGTTTAAATTATTACCCTTCTTATTTGTCTCATATTGAGGGGCATTACAAATGAAATACTATGAACTTTCTGTCCCTTCCGCTTTCGTGATATACATACTAACAGTGAGACTTTAAAGTATCGACTATTTAGCACGAGTTTCGACCAAAGTTTAAATTTAAATGAAAATTACTTGCACAGCATGCAAATATTTTTATTTTTTCTACTTGAACATATATAACTTCATAATTTATATACAGTCAAACCTCGTCTTGATATAGTCACACCTTGATATAATCACACTATTTTTTAACTCGAACTGATATAAAACATATAAAATTTGACCTTTATGTAATCACAACTTTTTATAATCACCAGATTCTTGTCTCCCAAGCTGGTGATTATATCGAGATTTGACTGTATGTTGTATAGTTTTTTTCTAAAAACACTTGCACATGTGCATGAATTTTTTACAAAATCCTTATACACTAAAAACATGTACACCTTGTGCATGTCAATTTTTTAAACCCTGGTTTCAACCCTATAAGCTACTTTAAGGGCGGAATGAAATCCTTAGCCCCCTTCAATTAACACACTAAACTGATCTTAGAAAATTCATATGTAGTTACCGTACTAATTCTTTGTGACTGCATCCTGACTGACTGACCACCATTTATTTCAAATCTAAATTTGTGACTGTCGTCTGACCAATCAAGCTGTGACAGTCATCATGACAGGCCACCAACCATACGTTGCGCATATCTTTAATAAATTTGATGCTTTCATATGTGACACATTCTTTCTTGCGGCAAGATGTCAATTTACAACAAACAATTTGTTAAGCGGCAAGAAAAAATTGTTAAAGAAATGTGTAATCTGTATAATGAATAACGATTGAAAGGCCAAGATTCCCGCTCAATTTTTGACACATTAGAACAATTTCTAATAAACAAAAAACAAAATCCAAATAATATTATCAATTTTTGCTTAAATGATTATGTCAATCCTATAATCCAAAACGTTCTCGCAGATTGTTATTACGGTAAATGGGTCGACAAGGATGAACACAAAGCATTCGTTTATTATCAAAAACCTGCAGAGATGGAAATTGCTACAGCAATGAATGACCTCGAATATTGCTATCGACATGGAATAGAAGTTGAAAAGGATGAGCAAAAGACATTCATTAATTATCAAAATCTGCTGAATTGGGAAATTCTAATGCAATAAATCAAATTGGATATTGCTATCGACATGGTATTGGAGTTGAAAAGGATGAACAAAAGGCATTCGTTAATTATTAAAAATCCGTCGAAATGGGAAATGCTTCTGCAATATATAACCTCGCAGGTTGTTATCAAGAAGGAATAGGAGTTGAAAAGGATGAACACAAGGCATTCATTCATTTTCAAAAATTTGCTCAATTGGGAAATGCTTATGCAACAAGTCGAGTTGGACATTGCTATCTGAATGGAATTGGATTGAAAAAGATACTTATAAAGCATTTCTTCATTATCAAAAATCTGCCGAAATCGGTGATATTTATAGAATGTCTAAACTTGGTTATTGCTATAGAAATGGGATTGGAATTTTGAGATATTTACAAAAGGCTGACTATTACTGCAATTGTAATTTCTAATATGTACTTTCTAATAATGAGTAGGGCAAAAAAATAAGATGTTGGATCATTTTAAATTATTCAATTTACTTTCGATATGTATAAAGTTATTTGCTGATTTTTTTTTTTTTTAGTCATAAAAGAATGGACAAAAAAAAAACATTAACATTGGCAATGATGATGTTAAAAAATTAGATAGCTGCGCGATGCCATCGCGCAAAACCAGGAACGGAAGATCTAAAGAGAGATCAGAATAATAATATTATATTTGTATATTAAAATAAAAAGAGTTTAGATTAAATACTGTCATGGGGATTCTTATTTATGAGGTCGTACCAAGCACCTTAATTATAGTTTATTACTAAGAACGTTTATTCACTAATGCTATCACTAAGAAACTTGTTACGTATTGATCCCTTTACTCTTTTATTAGAGACTATCATCTACGCATTATGCAACACATACAAATAGACTTTAAATTAAATTCATGCATCAATGATCACGCCACTTTCGGGTAACCGTGATTATATCTAACCCTAGCAATGCAGATACAGGGTATTGGTATTCGCCACGACAAATACTGTATATAAAATAATAAAATATCTATATTTTTAAGATTTAAAATTAAGCTTATAAATCCTGTATATAAAATAATGATATTTATCCAATGCTTTACTATGATCAGCTCATAAAATAAATCAATTATTTTATGCCTATTTTATATTTTATAGCTACA